TAAACCAAGCTACAATTACAGAATTAATGATGCAGCACCCATCTGATCAGCTGCCATGTTCTGCATAGAAATAAAGTGACTCAAAGCCTTCAATAGAAAGGTATAACCATAACCAGCCCTGGTTTACAGGCAGAAAAGGAGTAGGAAAGTTAATCACTGTCATCACCTAAATACAGCCTCAGAAGTATATGACTCCAAGTTTTATTCTAATTCCTTTGGATCATGCTTACTAGATCAGTTCATTCAATTTATTCTACATTGATGACACACAGAAGAGCAGTGAACATGCAAGTTACCTAACTCTGTGTGCAATTAGTCCACAAAGCACCCTGTAGTTACTAAAGTGAAGTAAATAGGAATTCTGTCACAACACAGTGTGAAAGATTAAAAGTACATCAATGAGCAGGGAAGCCTGAAACACAATTAAATACACCAGTTTAATAAAAATACCTTCCCCATCTGTATAAAGGATAGCTACACTGGTCTGCTTCACCAAAGCACAAAAAAGGGTGCAAAGTAACACTGCTATAGAAAGCCTACAAGCAAGTAGAATGTATTTACCAAAATAATTTTTTGCTAAATTCAGCAGCCACTACATTTTCTGCATTTAGCTTAAAGAACTCTCACTGTCCTAGAAGAAGTGAATCGGATCTTCCTGGACTAACAGTGGTGGGATGGAAGCTGTGAACTCATACATAGAGAACAAAATCTAACAGAAATTTCATTGAGAAAAAATACTCTAAATTGATTAAGAAAGCAAAGGCAAATCACCCATAGCATGGTAAAAAGTAGATACACAATTTTAATTGTAGCTCCTTTCATATGTGCTAGATACATTACCTTGGATGAGCACCCAAAAAAAAAGAATAAAAACTTTAGCTTAAATATAAAACTAAAATGAATGATGACCCTGATGAATTCTTTATTAAAATAAAATTAGAAATTTAGAACTAGAACCGCCCATACTTATCTGAGCCACCTGAGAGTGGAAAAGGGGATTTATGCATGTTTTAACTGCTATCGCTCTGTGACTTTTATTTTAAATACCGTTTGTGCTGCTGCCCTCTCTCATATGCATAAGCAAGTTCCACACAGGTAGCATCGCCCCAAAGAACAAGTACAGATACTGGAAAACCTTCCAAAAAGCCCTGTCTGCAAAGAAGAGAAAGTTCCAGGCTCCAGATATGTATGTGCTGCAACACTGAGCAACGCTGACACTTGACAACGAGGAAAAGCATGAAGACTTTGGGTGGCCAAAAGGTTATCACTATTATCATTCTTTATACACACACACACACATTTACCGTGCAACTGTTCTATCCTAGAAATCAGACTTTAAGAGAAAAAAACCCCACTCCTTTAAATAAAGCAAGGGACTTGGAAAGCCTTATTCTAACAGTTACATATTCTGGTCACGAACCACTGACATTTCATATCTCGTCATATAGAAAGTACTTATATTCAGCCTCCTAAATCCAAATGTATCACTAAAATTAAATTAAAATCTACAGACACAAACAGAAGACCATGTTCTGTTCAGATTTAGTCACTGATAAAAGAATTATATTTATCAACATGTGGCACATTTGGAAGAGTTACAGCCATGAACCGGATGGGGAGTAAATCAGGACAGAATTAGACCTCTGGAGCGCCTGGCTGTATGGCAGCCAGATGTGTTCTCTGTCAACAAACATAATCCCTCTCGAGTCATTGACTCCATCACCAGCAGAAGTGGCACTATTAGCCAATGCTGTGCATGCAGTTTCATTAATGTACTCCCTAGCTTCCAGGGATAAACATATGCATGATCCTACACTGCAGGACTCCCCCACACTCAACAGGAGTCAGGCAGATTGGTCAGACCACCCAAGCTGAAGGTCAAACAGTGCAACTTGTAGCACCTCCACACTGCAAACCCTCTACTCATACTGGTAAGCAGTCTTTTTACTTCCAGTTCACTGAGTCAGCAGGTAGCTGCTTGCCAGAAATTCACAGGTTTGCCTCAGAATAGAAAAGGTACTTTTAAGAAACATGAAGTGATGGACATGGTATATGTGACAGTAAACTGGGGCAAAAAAGATGGAATTCATAACCAGAAATACCCCAACCATCTCAAAAGAATTCCCTCAGATTGATACCCATCTCCAGACTGCAGAAGATATTTGCAGAACCTGGATCATGTTCCATGTTTTGTGATTAGAATAGCAATGATTCTTCTCTGGAAGATGATGACAGATTAGACGAGCCTACAAGTTCTTTCCTAGTCTGTATATGCCACTTCTAACATTTAATCACTAAATAACACATGGAAAAGAGGGTTAAAGTTTTACTACTCAACATGGATGAGAGTAGAACACTAATTCAATCAAAAGTTCAGATTCCTCTACTGATAATCAAGATAATCAGGATTTCACCTATGTTATTGATGCCACCAGGACTATCCCTTGAGAAAAGTATCACCCTAGCCTAAGGATGTCTAAGGATGACAAAAACATGACTCATGGCAACTTTATACAAATATCACCATTTTTCTTAATACGAGAATTGTTCTCATGCTGTGTTAAACTTACTAATAATTACTATGGAACTTCTTTCTAAAGCATGCCTGAAAACAGAGTATAACACTCTGATCTTAGGTTGAGCACGTAATGCAGGAGTCTTTCCCAACACCCTTATAAAGCAGCTGTACAGTTTAACTGGTTTACAGACAGCTCATTAAGAAGACAAACACTGGGGATTGGCCTGCTCCTAACAGTGTCTTCTCCCAGCTTCAAAAAGACATTTTCCCCGAGTTACACCAGTACGGTGAAATATTAGTGCTTGGTTTAGAACAAATTAGCAAGTTGCCAACCAATTCAAAGAGCACTTATTTGCATTGCTTCCTACTAAAAGTTATTATTTTAATAGCTGGTATGAAATCCCAGGACTATCTTTTGAATTCCATAGGTTAAATACAGGTGTTTCATATGCAGACAATAAAAATCTACCCTGCTTTATGTCTTCACTGGGCAATCAAGCTCTAGAACATTTTATACTACATAAATGACAACATCACTCTGCCATACAAAGAAGAGCTACTGAAAGATTATTAGTCAGGAAAATCTTTAGCAATCCAATACATTCCTTGCTGCAGCTGTTTTCAGAATGGAAGCAATCATTACTCAGACTTGCCAGAATCCCTAAAGGGGCGGAAAGTCATTCACAGTTCACCATTTTCTGCCTAGAGACTGCAGGAGTCATGGTAGGCATGGAAAAAAATCAGCACATTAGAGAATTTACATAGGAGCAGAGTTCTCAACTGGAGAAATAGGTAATTTTCACAGCATCTCCTTCCCCATTATGTAAGTGTTCCCAAAATAACTGAAATACTAAACAAACAATTTTTTTTGGTGGTGTCTACTTCTGTAGACCACCCATTTAACTTTTATTTTTGCCTTTTAGAGCAAAAAAAATACGTCTAATGCCTGGTGAGATGACAATAGCTAAGGGGCAATTTAAGAAATTCCTTCCAGGGCTGGGCAAATGGCAGTAAGGATTACAAAAATAGATAGGTATGTTTTCCCTATTGAATAAGATGAGGTGATTGGCACAGGAGACTGCACCACAGAAAAATGATAATAAAAAAAATACACATAAAGCAATCACAGGAGTTCTGGAGTAACTGTGGGTGCCATGCTTAGTTTTGCTTCTCCCTAGTACTTACCATGGAAAAACACCAGAAAAATACCACCACTATTTAGTGTATCCCCTCTGTGTACAAGATTGCTACTGGCCATGGTGAAAGGAACAGCTCACCTTTAGTTTCTGGCCTCAGCAAAACCAGCCTGTGTGGTGCTGAAGGATTTCTTTGCAAGCTCTATACCTGAGCCTAGTGCTCACTGTCAAGCTCATGAGTTCTATCAGGGCCAGCAGCAGTTACCCATGAAAAGAAAATATTGCACTACAAACAGCAGCACTGGTTGGTGTCATTCACTGCGTGCAATACGGGATTTAGGTTGTTTAAATCCAGAATCTGAGATTTTCATACATAATTGGATTTGAAGTAACAAAACTGGAGAGGAAAAAACAGTATTAGCCCTAGCCAATCTCTTTCTCATTTGCATCCAAGCAGTATCAAGCGAGTTGTTTACTTCAGAAAATGCCTGAGCTATTTCATTGAATAAGAATATTAAAAGAAAATTTAAAGTCCCTTGGGCTGAATGAATTTGGCCTAAAACTACCACAAATTAGTTTTATCTGTGAACCATTTTGATCCAGTGACAGAACCTTTCTGATCACAAGCAGCAAGCTCAGCATTCTTTACTACCTACAGCTCCCTGAGCCCTACTCCTGCAAACCAAGCCTAAGCACAGCAGGGAGAGTTAAGGGAATTTGTTTGCCTTTGGCATCTTACCGAACGAGGCTTTAATCCCATGCTTGCAAACTCCAAACAACAGCACCCTTATACCTTTTCTCTCCCTCCCTCCTCTGACAACTATTTTGTTTTATTTGGGTTATTGAGACATGAATACTTTAGAATTTAACACAATATCCCCAAGAGCATTAAGAAAAAAAATAAATCAACACACTGGTCTATATAATTATTATCATCTTGTACTAATGATGGTTTTTTAGATAAAATCTTGTATTGCCTTACTAGTACTGAAAGCTGACTCACCTTCCGAAGTACACTAGTACTACATTCCAACATCTGTTGCTGTGCCTCAACTAACAGAACAGGAAACAAAGGAACTTCCAGAAAGGAGCAAAGCACTCATTTAAAGGATTTGGTGCTTTAATTAGTGAGAAGAGGAAACAATGGGTTCCTCAGCTGAGGCCGTTCCTCATACCTGAGATAAAATGGCTGGTGATGGGGTTTATACCCTGTCCTGATGCATAGGGGCACCATTTTGTCTTCTTCTCTCAGTTCTTTGCTCCACCCGGTCTCGACTCTCCAGTGCCCTGAGGCGGGGGGCACGGGCGGGAAGGACTTTTAGGTGCTGCTGCCGTGGGGATGCGTGTACTGTGACAAAAAGACGAGTTAGCAGTTATTTCTTGTTAAATTACCTCACGAAAACACAACTACTAGGAGTTACAGGTGATTTCTGTGGCAAGGGCAGTGCTGAATGCTATTGCTGAAATGGCTCGCAGGTGAGACCAATCTCCAAGGTGTTGTGTTTGTGGTTTGAGTGCTTTCACCTCCATCACAGAATCATAGAATGGTTATGGTTGGAAAGGACTTTGAGATCATCAAGTTCCAACCCTCCTGCCATGGGCAGGGACACCTCGCTCTAAACCGTATCACCCAAGGCCTCGTCCAACCCGGACTTGAACACTGCCAGGGATGAAGCATTCACAACCTCCCTGGACAACCTATTCCAGTGCCTCACCACCCTTACAGGAAAGAATTTCCTCCTTATATCTAATATTGCAGTTGTTGCTGTTTCTGAAGTCGGACAACCTTTTGGGCAGCTCAGTGTGCTTATAGCTGTGTCAAAGTGCCAGTGCCTTGAGCTATGTGTCAGCTCTGGTGCTCTCCTCAGGCTGGGAGAAGGTAGGTGGTGAGGGTTGGGGCTTGGGGTCTGTTTTACCTCAGGGATGTTACCAGCTGCTACTTCAGAGGGTTTGGTTCTGCAGTCTCTCTGGGAGCCTCTTTACTGACTTTTTGCTGTGTCTTAAGGAAATTTCCTTGTAATGAGTTCTGCTAGTCAAAGTAAGGTTTTAACCTGAGGTACATGAGAGTGGGTGTTTAAAGTACCTGTTGGGAAAAAAGAATAAATAAATGGCCTTTGCCATGAGAGTGGGTCCTAAGAAAGTTTGGCAGATAAATCCCAAATACAGCTATTTCTGTGCCACACATCAAGAGTTAGTAGTGCTGAATTTTGCAGCATGCTACATTCCTCTAAAGACCAAGCTCACCTTTATTTCTGTGCCTGTCTGACAGATTTCCAGTACTTTATTAGGCTTTCCTGGTTGGAATGGATTTTTCTTTTTTTTTTACAAGTCTTTTCCCTAATCAAGGATTTCTTTGCATTAATGAAGCGGTATGTTCCTGTATCTATAAACGGGATAGCATACACTATGAAGCAAGTGAATGGGGAGCAATAGAGAAACCTCTAAGAAAAAAAAAATCTCATTGGAAAAATCAGCAAATGTGTAACTAAGAAACATTTTGTAAGATCATTGGTGTGGCATTAGCCTTAGGTTTCCGTAGTATTTATTTTGTCATCTTCATGCTGTAATTCAAATGCAACAAACTATCAATTTCTTGCCTTTTTCAACATAAATTAATATAGAACAACATGGTTTTTAAAAGCATTTTTCAGTTTCTGTATTTTTTCCCCTAGTTTTCTGTTGGCAGTCCTGTAAATGTTACTAGCAGCACAGTGCCGCTGATCCTGCTAATTGCTGTGTAGAACTCGTGTTGGTTTAGTAAGCTCGGTTGTTGTTTTGCTACTAACACAGATATCCTTTCCCTGTTTCTGGCTTCCTACCAACCCTTGGTGAAAGCTTGCTGAATGAGAAGGTTTGGCTGCCTGGGTTTAACTCACTGGGGTTATTGTAAAGATGGAATTTATATTGGTGCTGTGTGTGAAGTATTCAGCGTTAATCCTTCAAAGAGATATTAAAAAAAAATAAAAATCAAACCTAAACCAAACCTCTTGTGCTAGATAGCGACAGCCTAAGAATCCTAAAGCCATCCCTGAGGAGCACTGCTTCAGAAAGAGATGGCAGTACAGGACAGTTAGATAAGAATTTGGTTGCTAGATTAAAGGAAATGTGGGCTCCCAAACCCTCATGGGAGCAGCACAAACTGATTTACCATGAAATGGAAATGATCAAAATGAGTAAAATGCAAGCGTGGAGCAATTTTGCCTTCTTCTTTCTTGCTTCTCTTTCTCTGGCAGCAAAAAGATGTTGCACTCCAGTAATTTGTTTTTTAAATTGAAGGTTTATATATAGTTCTAAGCAGTCTATAGTAGTTACTTCACTCACAAGTTACCATTAGGATTTAATTATTTAATTCTCAAGGCATTTGTATGTGAAAGCAGTTCTCATTAATGCCAAGAGGACCTGTCTGGTTGACTGAGCTGTGGCTTAGCTTGGTGTCTGTCTTTGGTGGACTACACATACAGAATTCCTAGGCAGGTTTGAAGAGAAGGGAGATGTTCATGCAGGTCAGATCAGGACTTTAATCAACATAGCTTTCCAAGGGTCTGGTTCAGGGAGAGGAGGGCCATGATCACAATGGTGGTTTTCTAGGGTGATGTTAATGCCTTATGCTTCAAATAGGCTGACCCTAAAAACTGATCACTTGTGGGGGGGGATGATATTCAGAGGTAACAATATGCTGCCCAGGTATCTAACCCCTTTTGCCTAAAGCTAGAGTGGGTTTCAATGTTGTAGCTTTTGCAATGCTATGGCCAGGTGGAAGTCTTCAGGCTATTACACATTTGAAAGAAGTTGGCTCCTAATTTCTGTACTAAATGAAGTGTTTGAAACTTTAAGTATTCTGCTGTGGGATGAAAACAAATGTGAGACTTGAGTGCAAACATTCCTTGAAAGAGTGTAACTGGCCTGCTGCTTTTCAAATGGTAGTTTTTCCTAATTGTTTCCCTGAAGAGTCTAGTTAGAACAGCATCAGCACCTTTGTACCCCTATTCACAGCTGTGGGAGGTATGACACAGCTGTGTTGTGTTATTCTAAAGCTAGGACATTGTACCTCTGTAGACCTTGCTCAGCATGCCAAAGTTAACCTAAATATTTAGGATGGGAGTTGTAGTCTCACTGTTTTAAAAGTTTTTTTTCTTGGTGCACTTCTTCTTTATCCTCTGTTGTTCAGTGTCTCGCTAAGGATGCATATTTCTGTCTGAAAGAATCCTGCTGGGTTTGCCTTTGTGTAGATGTACACCCAGCAAACTTGGCCAGAGAGTCCCTGCAGAGTGACTGATACCTGTGATTTGGGCTTCTTGTAGCTGAGGCAACTTGTGACCTGTGTCCTCTTTCCTCTGAGAGGCTCAGCTAGAGCTTTCTACATTGAAACCATGCATGTTTGAGCAAGCCTGAGAATGAGCTGCTTACACTGTGGGAAGCAGCAGCTGAGGCAGTGGGTAGAGGAAGGATGTCGTCCTGATCGGTGCTTTTAGCCTATCCAGTTCCTTTGATTTCTGTAATGTTAGGGAGAATGAGGTCAAACCAGATTTTTACATGTATATTTTAAAAGCAATAGAAGCTTCCAGGAAGGTAGAAATTGAAGAAATATAGTACAAGGGATGGAGAGTGGCAGGAGGATTCGTTTTTCTCTACAAACTAGTGCACAGCATTAAATGATTCATCAGGAAGGTACAAGGGCTTTTCAAGGCCCAGGCTACCTAATGGGAAGCTCCCACTGATTTTCAACTGGTTTTGGGTCATGCTTCTACAGAGCAGAACTGACTCTGCTTCTGATGAAGTCTTGCGTTTTTAAAACTGCTATGCATACACAAAAGCGCTTGCATGGGATTCCTCCAGGAAGCAGTAGAAATACAGATGAAGCGTTTAAAATGAAGGCTTGTGAAAGCTAGGTCATGTAACATGGGAGAATCATGTCTGAGACATGAAATACATGTATAATTATTAAAGCAGTGATTGTAAGCTTGCTGGCATTGGGGTAATGTTAGCGAATTTGTTTGGACAGTAGGTAGCACAAAGGCTTATTGGTCCTTACACAAGACCTTATGTATGATTAATAACAAACCAGCAAATTTACTTGAAGAACCCACATCCTTCAAGGTTAGAACTGTCAGAGCACCCTTGAAGATGTGCAGGGTTTATATCTTTTCCAAACTCTGCCTGACAGCTGGGAGCAATGGAAATAGTTCTTTGAGCATGCAGGTTATATGAAGGTTTCTCTTGCTGTCCCTGTGTTGACCAGGTAGTTCTGCTAGGAAGGCTTTGGCTTAATGGTGTTTTAATGGTAGCATGGCTTATCCTGCTGCTTTGACCAATGCTCTTTTGTATTCTGTTCCTTCTCTGGTTTTATGTGATCCCATTTGCTGGGAGCTAGGATTTGCATGTCAATTGTTTGTAAACATGACTTTGAAGATATAACTGTCACTAGCTACATCAATGCTTACAGTATATTGTGGTGTTCAGCCCCTCCCTCTCCCCCCCCACGCCCCCCGCTTTCTATGTGTAAACACCAAAGCAACTCAACTATTATTTATATATAGTCAAACAGGAGGATGGTTTGAAGATCTGTGGCATCTGATGCTGAATCCCAGAGTTTGATTACAGCAGACTCAGGAATTAAAGGTCTCAGTACTTGACATACTGAGCAGAGGTTTATGGAGCCAAACCTAAGAGGCAGAACAGTAGCAACACATACCTTTTAAATAACATTTATTTCCAGGTAGGTCTTAAATCTTTAAAAGAAAAAGCAATAATTTCCCCCTTATTTTACAGGTGGAGAAACTGAGGCACAGAACAGTCAGTAGTGCTGTCTATCATTATGTTGGAGGGACAGAGCTGGTAAAATAACTTGGATTGTTTTTGAGTCTTAAATCAGTGATTTCCCTAATGACATTTGAATACTATATTTATTTTTGCCTCTTGAAGCCTCCCTTCCAAATCTCAAGGGACTTACATGAAATTTTTTATGGATCCATATGCAGGTTGCTTATGGTGTGCCATAGATGCCTTTTGTGGATCTCTCCCAAATTGTTTGTGATCCCTCTCCCTGCCTGCCAGAGCAGTGTGAACGACAGGATTAAAATTGCTGGTGTAGGAGTGTTACTAGCTGAGGCTGTAAATACTGAAGTGTGAAGGAAAATACATTTGAAAGCTGGTCTGGACCAGCTAGATTTATGTTCTGCTTTGCTCCTCAGATAGCTGCAGCTGGAGGAGAAGCTTAAGTGAAATGTTTGTCTGACTTAGGGTAGGTCAGAAATGGGTAGTCTTGAGCTTTTGTTTATGGATGTCACCTGTGTGACCACCACTGATGCAGATTGGGGTAGGGATGGGAGTCTTCATGTGGAGCAGCTGTGCTTGTTGCAGGAGTCAAAACTGGGAGGAGCTTACATGGTAAGAGGCAGACACCCCCTCAGTGCTCTGCTACATCAATAGGGGTTTGCAGTTTATATTCAGGAACAGCTTTAGCAAGTCTGACTGTT